TGGCCCTAAAAAACGGGTGCAGGTGCTGATCCACTTCCTGACCCTATTGATTCACATCTCAAAGTACTGAGAAAAAAAATCAGATGGAAGTTAGAGGCCAGAAGTGCCATGGGAAGCTGGATGGGTTAAAGCGGGGAAAGCAAGCGTGGTGTGGAGCGCCCCAGAAATGATGGAATGGAGAAAGTTCTTGAAGAACATCCATCTCTAACCCGGTGCCCTCCAACTGCATTGGGATTAACAACGATGAGAATGCCTTGTAAGTTGTAAGTTCAGCCCCAGTGTTAGAATATTAGGAATTCCAGTCACAGCAAATGGGGGTACATTAGATTTCTGTTCTGTTCTGTTCTGTTCTGTTCTGTTCTGTTCTGTTCTGTTCTGTTCTGTTCTACTCTACTCTATTCTATTCTACTCTACTCTTCTTTATGCTATTTATCCACCACCTCAACCAGATGGACTCCAGATAGTTTACAGATCTAACTACACCAAAACATTATCAACGCAGAATACAAAAGCACATTAATTCAGTAAAACGTGAGCATAAACCTGATCTAAGTGTCAATGGCTTCAGTTAGTCCCCAAAACCCTTTGAAAAGAACCAGGTTTTTACCAGTTTCTGGCAGGCCAGGACTGGGGGGCCTTCCCCCCTTGGGGCAGGTGGCTCCTTAAAAGGGGAGTCCCACGATCTGGCCCCCTCTTGCTGCCCTTCCTGGGTGTTTTCTGGCCATCCAGATTGGGGGGATGGGGTTAGAATCCCTGCAGGAAAACCCTTCGGACCTTTTCCAGTGCTACCTCCGCTGAGTGATTGCAACAGGCTGGGGTGCGCCAGTTTCAGGCAGAGACCAAGGTCTTTCTCATCATGGAATGTACGAGTTAGGAGGGGGATTCATTATGATTATTATTTATTAAACTTGTATGCCACCCAACTCCCAATGACTCTGGGCAATTCACAACAATAAAAACAAAGAAGCTGGAAATAAACCGGTAAAAGGGAAAAAAAACCCCGATAGATGCATGTGCAATGAAGCAAGGGTCTCCTCCTTGCCAAAGGCCTGGGCGAAGAGCCAGGTCTTCACAGCTCTTCTAAACAACAGCAGAGTGAGGCCCATCTGGGTCCCAGGGGGAACTTCAAAGACCATCCATTCCACACCCCCTGTGCAGGAATCCACTAAAACCTGTGAAAATTTGGGGGAGGGGGAGTCTGCCCCTGCTCCAGGCAGATCATTCCACTGCTTTGTAGCTCTTAGAGTCAGGAAATTCCTCCTGGACGCCTGCTGATCTAATCCCCAAGTCACTGCAAGAATACTGGTGGTATCCAGGTTAAAAACACAATAGGGTCTCTCAAAGAAGTTCCGTTTAGAGACCGACCCTCCCTTGACTATCTCCGCAAATGGGAGATGGAACCTAGAACACAGATATTTACATCTAGAATATAGATAATCTAATAATATTTATTTATAGTACACTTTTAGTTAGGCACAGTACAAAATGGGTACACTCACAGGTCTGACTTAACCATCTTTAGAGTGTTTCAGAACAAGCTCAGTTAGCAACTGAACAGGTTTTATTCTCTTGCAGCTGCCAGGACCATCTGCTTTGCAAGCTCGTTGCATGAAATGGCCGCGGGGGCCTGATTTGTGAGTCCACCTAGAAGACTTTGGGTATATTGTCATTATCTCAGTTTGCACCTTCCCTTTCCATCCTAGCCTGCTTGTGGTAGCTGAAAAAACAGTGAAGCAATAAAATTAGAGCCCAGTTAAAAGCAGCATGAAAAATCATGGATCCGGTTCAGAAGGGCTGATGGAAGAGCAAATGTTCGACTCTCTTCCTTAAAAAAGTACAAGTCATTCCATAAATTGGGAGCAACACATTTTAAAGCGACTCCCAAGAGCGTCTGAGGTCCCTTGCAGCTCCCCATTAAGCTGTGTGGATGGTTTGATCTTGGCTTGGGGCAACATGCCCACCCAGCTTCATTGAGTTTGGTCACCAAACTGTACTTAAGCAAATGATGACTTCGTGTACCCTAATTCACTTCCAGGGCACCCTTTGCTTCTGTTCAGCAAGGCTGTGTCTCCTCCCGGCCAGAGACACCCTAGAATTACACCCCAAATATCTGTCCTTGGAGAAAACACACACGTTCCAAGTCAAGAGCTCTCCTCTGAAAATTTAGTACAAAACACAGCAGCTCGTCAGCCGATCAAGTTTGTTAAACAGCGGTGCGCCCACTGCACTTCTCGCCCTGTCCAAATGCCTGTGATTGCATTGGCACTCTTGACCAAAGCATTATTTCCCCAAGAAAAGCCACTCGGGAGTGCCAGCTTCTTCAGAGCCAGAGGACATCTGCCTTTGCCAAGGCAAGATAATGTGGGCTGCCTGAGTAAGGATGTTTCCACTGGAGAAATACTACACTGAGCAATTAGTAAAGATAAAAGGTAGGGGTGCCTTTAGGTCAAACTCATCTCCTGGCAACTGTTTCTATGCAAAAGGAAAGCAAGGTGGTGCCTGAAAGAGCAGTGTCTGTGAGGGTCCAGAGCTGAAATGGGTTTTTAGAGCTTGCACATGACTTGGAGTGATGTGGACGAAGATGGAGCATCTGCTAGATTCTGTCGCCAGGTTGCTGACAGACTCTCCAAGGCTGGTTGCTCTGGAGGGCTTAACCTGGCCCCAGGTGATCCAGGAGTTCGTGGCCAATGTAGCAGCCAGCTCAAGTCATTAAGAGCCCAACCCGCACTGGGTTTGCACACTAGATCTGGGGTCTGTCTCAGAGCAGTTGTGTTATCTGGGCGGGGAGGACATTACCATCAGCCTTTGGCATGGTCAGATCAATCTCTGATTTTTTTCGGCTGGCTGACGCAGCTCCCCTATAAAGAAGGGCCTATTAGATCAGTCTGTCCCCAGGCACCTAAAGGACCCAGATGGGTTTCAGAGGGAGCTTGGAGTTTTCTCGAGGATCTAATGGAGAATTAGTTGTTGTATGTGACAAAGACCTTGGATCAGATTCCTACTATGTAGTCTTTCCCAGTTCATTGATTCTGAGATGCTCCTTGGTTCTCTGGGAAACTTGGGAGATGAAACACCAGAGATGCCTAGGATGAATCTGATCAAGCATGAGTAAGATCCAATATGAGGGTCTACATTGTGGCAAGAGAAGTGGCAAAATATAGTTTTCCTCTTATTAAGTGACGGGCGGCCCTTTTTAAAGTGACTTGTTCTTTCTTGGGGAGGGACGAGCCGCAGAATCATCTACAAGGCCTCTGTGAGAAAAATTCTGGTGATAAAGTTGCTTAGACTCCAACTGGGCCAGTCCTGTTGAGGTGGAAGCAGCAAGGTTGTGTGTGGCTACCTGGGGCGAGTAGGGACCTGTAACTCCTGAGGATGTGGATAGGGTTCTTGGAACTGCTAACCTGGCCAGCTGTTTATTACATCTGTGCACCTGCTGGCTGGTGAAGGCCACCCAGAAGGTGATGTGTGATTGGATCCATGCGGTGGTTATTGCTTTGAGGAGGGAAGGGGTGGTATACCCCCTTCTCAAGAAGTCATGGCTGGGCCTAATAGTCCTGGATAATATTTCCAGGCTCCATGAGAAACTAGTCGCGATGCTGCTTCAGAGGTTCCTGGAGGAAAGTGATTATCTAGAGTGCTTCCAGTCAGGTTTCAGACAAGGGCATCGCACTGATATGGCACTGGTCATGTTTGCTGATGACCTCCAGCACTCTCTGGTCTCTCAATGGTTTGGATACCCTTGAGCAAAGTATCTTTCTGGACCATCCTGCTGGGAGTCAGAGGCAGTGCTGCAAGGGCTGTCCTTGTTTCTCTACAATCATGTCCACTCAAGTGTTGCCAGAGTGGGATGGGGGAGAGATCAAGGCTCCTGACGTGGGGTGCCTGAAAGCTTAACTCTCTCCACTTCCCCATTTAATACTTCTGTGAGGCTGCTGAGTGAGGTCATCCTCTGGTTTGATGCCAAATATCATCAGTACACTAATGATATCCAGTTGTACATCAGATAGATCAGCTGTCAAGGTCTGCTCCCCACGTCTAGAGGGTGGGTGGGAGTAAGACTCAGGTTCAGCCCGGACAACTCTCAATCGCTGTGGGTATTTGGACCATGCAGGATTTGCCCTTTGGATTGGTGTGGAGTCTGGGAGTCTTGGACTCCCAGGTCCTGCTCATGGAGTAGGCAACATCTGTGACCTGGAAGCCTTTTGCACAAATTCACCTAGTGTACTAGTTGCGCCGAAACCAGAAGGCCCTTCAGACACTTGTTTTGATCGTCTTATGTGTGGACTACTGCAATCCGTTCTATGTGGGGCTGCCCTTGAGTACTCAGAAGCTGGTCCAGAATGCAACGGCATGGGCAGTTATGGGCAGGCCACAGTATGCCCATTAAACACCTCTGCTTTGTGAGCTATGCTGGTTACTGGTCGGCTTCCAGAAAGTGCTGGTTATCCCCTCTAAAGCCCTTCATGGCACAGGACCAGCTTATCCTGCAGGTATAATTTTCCAGTCCCTATTGTGGTCATAAGTCGAGGACTACCTGTAAGTAAATGGCGTGCTATTTTCTTCCAGGATGTTTTTCAGTGTCCCAGTCCAGCCTATACTCTGGATTACATGGTGGTCTCCCATCCCTGCTTAGCTTTGGAGCCCAGGGAAGGCCAGCCCAGTCTTACCACTTCCTGAGGGAGTGATTGATCTAGAAGTCTATCAAAAATTCGTGTTCTATAGCATCCTAATATAATTAACTTGAAGAGAAGTGTAAACATACTTTATAGCAACGGAACCACTGGATAAGGACTCCCTTGTCCCAGAAGAAACCATTTTGTTCTTTTAGCTTCACAATTTACAGAATTGTAATGATTTATGGAAGTGATTCCCATGAACTGAGCTCAGCTTTTGAAACCCACAGGGGTACCTCTGTGACTTTTTCTTGGAAATAAGATAGAAATGCCTGGCCACTGGCACTTATATTCACTAAAAAAAGAAAAGAAAAGCACAACATTGTAATGTAAAGTGCCATTTATTTTATCTCCCCATGATGAAAATATTGTTTCTTAAAAAAAATTGCACCATCATAATGCTGAACACATTCTCCTTAAACACCCCTAAACAACTAAAGCCAAAAAAAGGGGAAAAAAAAGAAAAAAACCCCAAAACAAACAATAAACAAAACTAGAGCAAAACATACCGAACTGTCAAACATTTTACTAAGTAATTTTATTTTTAAAAATTTAAATAGAGGCAGAGAAACATAAAACACATCCCTGGGCACACGTCCCCCCCTCCCCAAGCTAAAGCTTCACTGTTCAGATATGGGTTCTGTTGAAATAAAAAGAAAGCAGTGACGTTGGACCGAGCGGTCCCAGGACAACTTCGTAACTCAAACACTGAATAGGATACATTCAATCTGCAGGAGTCACCCCATCTGAGCAAAGTGCAGTTGCACCTGGGAGACGAGGGGAATTACAGTAGCAGCTGGAAAACCAGACAGAGCCATGCGCAACAGATCCACCTGCAACAATGCTGTGACTTCTTACAGGCCACCCAGGGAAGTAGGGTCGAAAAAGTCAAGATGGACATTGCAGCAGTCCAACTGAAGCTCTGCCTGTTTTTTATTTGCATCGACACACATAAAAAACGGACAGAGCTTCGACCGGATGTCGTGATCACCATCTCAACTTTTCTGACCAAACCCTGTGGTCCCCCATCCCCCCCCCCCCGATTGCTTAAAGATTTACTTTTCTTTGCATTTTCTGCTGTTCCTGGGGAGAATCTGAATTTTTCTCATAGCTCTCCAGTGGGTGGGGGAAGGGGGAGGAAAACACCCTCCACAAACATGCAGCCCAGCGCTCCATGCTCCGTGCTGCCTTAGCTTCATCGACTACGACAGCAGCGATGCGACTGGATGTCTTTGGAGCATTCAAATAGAGTAACTCCAGCTTAAAAATGAAGGCCTTTAAATGATTTATTTAAAAAGCCATGGCTGAGGCCCTTAGACAATTAAAAAAAATACAATCCATTATGTTTCACTTGCAACGCCCAGTATATCTGAAACTCAGTCAGCAGCACAGGATGGACCAAAGGGAAACCTGAATTTCTCCTGGGCCCCAAATTGTTCCTCCTGACACTCTTCTCCAAGTAACTGCCCACCGTTGCACCCTTTTTCCCCTGAAGCAACCCCAAACTCGCTAGTCAGGCCACCTCCTGCTCCTTGCCCCTTCCTTCTTTCCTGTGAAGTCAAATGAAATCAGCTGAAAGGGAAAATAAAAGCGGATGGGTTCTCTGGGATAGGGAAGTTCAGAGGCGCAGAACAAAGGAGGAGTTCAGAGGAGGAGAGGCAGTGGTCCAGCACGAGCGCCAGACCTTCTCAAACAGAAGACCATCCCTGAGAAGCCCTCTCCCTCTCCCAAAAGGACGGCTGCAGACTCCAACCTAGAGAGGTGCAACCTCAGTGACAAAAGAATAAATCCTTCCTTGCCTCGGATGCCCTGAGAGCAGGACTTAAAGAAGAGCAACGGCTTCCTCAAAATCTTGAACGGAAGAGCAGTGCAAGCGGATCCTCTGCTCGAGGCAATTCACCCAAATTCAACTACAGCTGTGGGATCCAGCCTCACTTCTACAGGTACAAGAAATATTCTGGGGACTACTATTAAAACCCCACTTAAGAGAAAGCTTCCACTTTGCCACTAGCCTTGAAAAACAGCTTTAACATTCTGGGAAGGTCTTCTGCAAGACTTGGGTGGGAGGGGGAGGAGAGGGTGTGGGAGTCTGGGGAAGCCACACTGGAAACCTAGATAGCAGTATGGCTGTTCCGAAGGCATCCAACGGGGCACGGTTTGCTAGACACCTGAACCTTATTTTTTGCGTTCCTTGCTCCAGAGAGCTTGGAAGACTCACCCAGGTGCCTCTGTGCTGGGAGCTGGGCTGCCATTTTAGGAGGGTGGCCAACGAGGCTGGGGGAGGTCACCCCACATGCCCCCGGCCTGAGCGTTTGCTTCTGAGGTGGGAACCCTTTGCAAGCACGAGGGTTCCTGGTTAGCGAGGCAGTGCAATCGGTGAGCCTTCGCTCTGGCCACGGAGGGCGGCTCTGTCTGGCTCAGACCCCTCGCTGGGGCTTCCCTCCTGGCTGGACTGATGGATCAAGAAGAGGAGCTTAATTTAATGCCACAACCCTTCAAAGAGCCAACTACGTTTTGGCTGATTTGGGCATTTATCTTTCAGCTCGACTAAAAATATTACCCAGTTCTTGCTCAGGCAGCTGCTTCCACGACTGAACCATTTTTGTAACCAATATGTCAATGCTGGCCATCAAAATATGCATTCAGCCCACATGGAAATTTTAAGAATGCACACGCATCACGGACGGATGGATGGACAGAAGGGGAGAGGACTGAGGAAGTGAGGCAAAGGGGCTGAGGAGAGAGGTGGCCAAACGCTATGGCCCAGCCAATGAAGCTTTCAGAAGCTCTCCTCCTCCTCCTCCTCCTCCAGCTGCTGCAGAAGCTGCCTTTTCTCCGAGCCATGGAGGGCAAGTGCTGGAGCAAAACCCAGAAGAGCGCCAGGTGCACAGCCAAACTGCTATGATTACATCGCACCCTCTTGGGACAGAGGTGCAGAAGCATCAGTGCCAAAAGAAAGAAAACAGAAGCCAGGAAACCTTACGGGGAAAAAAGAGATACCGCTGTAAGGCGGCCTGAGTGTATCCAAGCAGCAGCACCAGATAACAAAACACTGGAGAGAGAAGGGACCGTGAAGGCCAGAGGCGCTGGTGGCGTTCACAGGATACATCCCTTGGTTCTGTAAGAACCAAGAACTAGCAGCTTTTCTCCCCCCGCCGATCTAAAGCTATCCTCCAAGGGGCTACCTGCTCTCCCTAAAATTCAGCATTCTGTAAGGCGTTCTGACTCATTGTGTAACCGAAGACTGGAAGGAGATGGTCCTTCAAGCAGGGTATCTCTGAGGGCAGAGCCAGGACTTGCCCTGTCTGCCCATTCCCCCCAGCCCCCAATTCCTGCCTACTCCCCAAAAAAGAGGGACAGTGTCCCTGAACAAAACCAAAGGCAAGGAGACAAGAAGACAGAGAAGAGATGATGACCACAGGAAGGAATTGAGGGCTCGCCAGAGACACACTTCCTTAATCTTGCAGCTCTTTTGCTATCTCCCCCAAACAGCCTCCAGGAAGTAAACAGGCCCATGCCGCCACTTCTCTGCCAATTCAAGATGCAACCACGTCGTCGTCTGATTGGCTAATCTGCCACCTTTGCCCTGGCCCCTCCACACGGTGAAGTCTCTGCCTGTCAGCAGGAGCCCATGTGAGCCATCCTCAGGCTCACCCACAAAAACGTACAGAAACACACACACACACACACGCACACACAGGTGCAGCCAGCCTATCCTGGAAGCTTTTTCTTCCCCTCCCCACAAACCAAACAGCAGCAGAGCAGTTCTCTGCCAGCCCTACCCACCCAAAGTCAAGAGTTTCAGAGAGCGAGTGATTCTCCCATTGCAGGAAGAGAAATGAAACCAAGCCATAAAACAGGAACAGAATGAAGCAAAGCTCATTTCTTCTCTTGCTGCTGAATGAGTGAGCAGTTTCTCAACCATCCCGCTTTGCTGTTCCGGAGCAAAGAGAGGGGGAGGAGGGGCAAGGCGAGAAAGGTGGTTCTTTCTTCTGCTGGAGGGCAGCAAACAGCAGCAGACAAGCAGGTGCACAAAAGAGGGAAAAAAGAACGAGGCAGTTGGCTTGGCGGTCACATGGCCGTGCGGGTGGGAGTGCTGGGCTGGTTCAACCGCAGCGTCTTGCATAGCCAGCCAGCAAAATCCACCTCTTCCACCTCGGCACGCTTGATGAAGGTGTGATTCTGAAAGCAGGGAAAAAAGGGAAAACGCTGTGACAACAGGCATCGGGTGGGCTGTCCAGTGGAAGTACGGGGAGGGAGTTATGGGATTCCAGAGGCCACCAAAAGCAGGGATCAGGGTCGAAAGGGAACCATGACCGTCAAAACTCACTGACTCCCACCTGGTTAAAGCCCTGCTCTGATGCTGTTGCATTTGCTGAAACTTCCTTCCATTTCCAAACCTTTCTCTGAAACTGTGCAGGGCTTTTAAAAAGAACACAAAGAATGCCAGTCGCAATAAGTGTTTGGGAACCTTGTCTAAATTCTGGCTCTCCTGAGACTGGTGGGAGCCCGTGGCCCTACTGCACAACAACCAGACCTAGCACGGCCGGTGATGAGGAATGCTGAAAGCTGCAACTGACCAGCATTTGAAGAGGCATGGGCTCTCTGACCCTAATGCAAAATGCGTCTCAAGTAGCAGATGGCATGTTTTAATTTCATCTAAAAAAGGGGGGGGGGCTCCAAAGGAAATAGAAATCAGACAGTTGAGTTTAAAAAAGTTTTTAACTCCTTACAATTACACACACTCCAAACTGAATATTTTTTTAATTTATGGTTTATTTCTGCATTGTTTTCCTGTTATTATTCTGTTCTTGTTTATCCTTGATATTTTGTTAATGCAGTGTGTCCTAGGAGTGGAAACACCATTTTTAACGCCTCTTAGAGCCAGCAACTTTGTAGAATTTCTGTTCCTTGTAGATAGCAGACAACTCCTTCAATGTACACATGCTTTAGAAAGAGGTAAAACCCAGTCTGCTGTTTTGCACAGAGTCCAACATTTCTCTCTCACACACTCATTCAGAATAGCACTCTCCAAACGAGAGCTGCTCTTGGGTTCCAAGAACATTCAGAGCAAGAAATGCTACTGAAGAAAAACTGGAAGTCTATCTCAGCAGTGCAGCGTTGGAGCCCATTCTCCTGTCTGGAGATAAGGGACAGGCAAGTCCTGTGCTGGAGCCCACATTCTGTTTTGTTGCTCAACCTTGCCCACTTGAAGATGTGTGGACTTCAGCTCCCAGAATTCTGCAGCCAGCATGCTGGCTGAGGAATTCTGGGAGTTGAAGTCCACGTATCTTAAGTTGTTAAAGATGGGAAACACGGATACAGAAACTCATTCCTTGTTTCCCATAGAGCTTTCCCAGCAATTCTTTCCCAAGTCTTTAAGGATTTTTGTTTTGGGCAGGGGAATTCAGAAGATGTTACATTTCAGGGCATTCCCTGGATTCTTACAGTTTGGGATAATTTCGAAAATGGCTCACAATCAGCACCTTGCTTGTATAAGCCAGTTAAAAGGGGGGAAAAAATCCCCAAAACAAAGAAGAAACTCTTCAGATTCATTTTTGGAAGCTGGTAACACTAACTGGGAATGAAGAAAAAAGTCAGAACAGACCGGAGCCATCAGCACAAATGGCTATGATGGAATCTGCAGTTCCTGCATGGCTCGCATCTGTTGGCCTCCAGGGCCGCTGGTGGTGCAGGAGGACCCCATAGCCCCTCAGCCAGAGACCATCCCCTCTTTGCTGCAAACAGGCTGTGGAAGGAAAGGGTTCCCTGCCCAATTCAGGGCCTTTCCCTGGACAATCTACACAACCGTTGTGCAATCCTCAGGACTTTTCACACTTGGGACTGTACGCCCAAGAGAAGGACAAACTGAGCTACAGTTCCTCAAAGAGCCAGTGGAACATACATGCTCACAGCCAGGAGAGAGCGATAGTAACACAAGTGGATGTGGACCAATTTGCCTGAGTCCTGTGCAAGGATTTGGATTTTCTTAGTGTCAGAAATTAGGTATTTGAGCACACAGAGCACACAAATCTGCAATTCTTACCATCAGCATCTTTAGATCTGCCCGTTCAGCAGGGTTCTTAATTAAGCTGGGAAAAAAAGCAGTAAGAAGGTTGGTCAACTATGGCCACTGCAAGGCGTGCACACACACATTCTTTGGGATGTCCAACACCAGAGCTTGGGGAGTGCTAGATGCAGAAGGCTCTCATCAGCTGTTCTAACCCAACTCCCTCCACATGACTTACTCAAAAACGAGGTCATACCAAGAGCAAAGAGTAGCCTCATCCCCAAGAAGAGAGAGGAATCAACAGCCTTGCGAACAGCATTCAGAAGTTACCCTTTTTAACCTTCTTATGACAATAATATCATAATATCTCAAGCAGGGAGATGGCTAGCCCCATAGTGGTCGGTGTCCCCGGCCTGATGTTCCATCTTCTTGGATTGTTCTTTTTTAGTATTGTTTTAATTTTA